ATCAAAACGGTCTTCTTGGAACCTTGCCTTCCGTCAGGTACCACTTGAACAGCCTTGCCAAGGTCTTGATAAGAACTGGCGAAAGATTCTTCAGATATTGTGGCTTAATCCTGTCGGGACCGGGTGCTGTACGGTTCTTCATCGACATGATAGCATGACGAATTTCGGAAAAAAGAACAGATGGTGCGACATTCTCGTCCTCTTAAGATGGCATGGTGGAAAGTGGACGTGGCTCGCAAAGAGATCTGAGTAGAAGTCGTAGATGACCTTCTCCATTGATCTTCGGGAAACAGTTGTGGTTCCATCAGGACGACGAAGTGCGGTCATCTTTGTCTTGAAGTTGACGAAGCGTCGGCGAGCTTTGCGTATACTTCTTCCTATCTCCGTGACGTCAATTATCACTGCTACTCTTCTCTCCTTAAGCTCTTTTTTTATTGCTTCTCTGCATCGCTTCGCAAGCTCGGACCAGTCGTCTGTAGTTGCCTGTGGCTCGTGCGCGTCCACGTTGGCGTGAGCTCCAAAGTCTCCGTGTGAGACCCTTCTCGTACTTCTTAGACTCTGAGCTTCCTTGGCACAATCATGAAGATGTTGTACGAACTGTTCGTATTCTGCATCAATGTTGTCCATCACGGTATCTGCCAGCCGGATATCCCAATTGATGGTATTTATGGGACGACGTTTCCTGAACTTGAAGGCTCTCTCTCCATTCCGCGGAAAGTAGAATTTGGCGTAGGAGACGATGGTCTGATCCCGTGTAGAACTTCGGAACAACAGCGACGTCCATCAGGTAGTACCTTCCGTTGACGATGATGTGGACAACCTCGTTATGGTACTCTCCACCGGGCGACTCCCAGGTCGGGAAGGGCTTTTTGAGTTTCCATGGATAGTCTCCGTCGTCATGATAAACTCGAACGGTCTCTCTTTTTGTTCGTTCCACTGTAAACCATGGGTCGATGTGAAGTTTCGCGGTCGACCTGCTGGCTCCGATCTTTACGTTGAACTTCACCGACGATGATCTTTTAAAAGGTATGATCTTTTCTGTAAAACTCCCAGGTCCATATAAAATGCCTCGAGTTCGTCTTCGTCGTAGCTGGATGTTGGGGCGTACGCAGTGAAGGCGGTCAAGGTAGGGATTGACCCACATCTTGATACTTGCAAACTTCCGATTCTAGTTGTGAGTTGTTCGAAAAAATCGATGTTCATGGCCAAACTCGTGTTGACAAGGACTCCAATACCGCCCACTCCTCTGCTGTCGCATGTTCCTAAGAGCAGTTCTTCTCCAGTCTCAAATGTGGCGGGTGGTGCCTCCTTGTCTCAGTCAGTCAGATGACGTCGTACTTGATCTTCCTTGCTTGCATCATGAGGTCTTCGATAGAGGCGTCCGATGCCAGCGTCATTGAGTTATAAGTATAGATCGTCATCGAAGTCCGTCTCGTTTTCGGCAGCCTGAATCGCCTTTCAAACCTTGTCCCCACTGGCGCTGCCTTACCAGTGGCTCTTCCAAGACTAAAGGAGCTTTCCGTATTACCACTGTGTCAAACAAGATTTTACTCGCAGGGATAGATTGTTGGGCTCAAAACCCCTTCCAGGAACGATCGGAGCTTATTTGTTGGAGGCGACTCCGTACTTGGGAAATTAGAAGGCAAGCTTTATGGAGGCAGGGAGTCCGTCGCCCGGCTCAATCTGCTTATGCAGAGAAGGCGCGAGGTCGCCTTTGGTCAGCGATTACCCCACTATCCGCCACCAGGGCCGGTAGTAATCTACCCTACCTGGCGGCATCTTTGATGCCGCCAAGTTGGCACACATCGCGGAAAGTTGCCATCTTCGGCGGCAGCTCGCGGAGTAATTCTAGGTTTTAATAATCCTACTTAACCTTAGTACGCAATATTTCGCACATTAATTTTTGATGATGCACACAGCCGCAAAACTGCTACCTCGCGCGCGGTCGAACCTAAGTGCGTTAACTTCAAGTGCCACCACGTTAACCATTCAACCATTCGGTCAATCAAGATGGTTGCACCAGCAGTATGAGGAACGCAGTGGTAAGTGGCCGCCTGTAAGAGGGATCGATACATTGCGTGAGAGACTTTGACCTGAAAGAACAGCTGATTGTTATGAGCGAGAGAGGGGCGAAATCGGTGCAAACGAGATTTAGAAGGGTTTTTCAAAAAAGATGGTGTTCTTTATGGTTCTCAGGCATTACTAGATTTTTTCTCTGTAAGAAAATCGTCGTTTCAAAAAAGAAAAACTCATATAATGAGAAGAATGATAGTTTCTTGATGGAAATTAGAGTTTATTGATTTTTTCGCCCGACGTAAATTGTGTGATATGCCGCACTACCCAAACTTGCAGACGGGGCCAGCAAGGTGCCACCACCTCGACATGGTAGGGGCACGTCAGGATGGTGGCACCTTGATCTCTCAAAAGAGCACGCTATTTTTCGTGCTCTCAGACCTGGCGGCATCTCTCAGCGCTGAAATTTCGACGAAATGCCGCCAGGTCAGTTCGCGAAGCTGTCGCCAGCACCTCCTGCCTTCCTCTACAAATCTGTTTAGGGAGGTTTTTAGCACCCTCAGTTGCCAGGTAAGGTTCCCTAAGGTCACTATGACCTCCTCGACCAAAAATACGTGTTGAAAAGGGTTGGGAGGGCACAGACTTGAGGTCGGAGTTCGCGCCGACTTCACGTAAAGATGACGCCGACCTGACGGCGAAACATGCCGCCAGGTCAGGGGGATTACTACCGGCCCAGGGACACCCCACTTAGCCTCGCGACTAACCGGCTGTGATCCCTTTATGAGGGAGATGTGTGGAATGTCCAGCATTACCACAAATTCATAAAAAAATCTTTCATAGAGTTAAGAAACCGACTTTTAACGTAATTTTGCTATTCTACTGCAGCAATTTTTCCAATGTCAAAAGCTCTAGTTCAAATAAGCAATCTATCGCAGCATTTGGCGTCTGCGCATTTTGAGAACGTACAGTTTTATTAGGCTGGAAACTAAGTTTTGCAACTGATTCCATAACTTCGCTCTTTTTGGATATGGCGTACTCAAACTTTGGCATTATATAGAAGGCTATGTGAGCTACAAGTGAGCACAAATTGTCTAGATTTTGAACACGAAATAGAAAAGTTTCAGGCGTTTTTCGAAAACTAGTGAAATTTGAGAATTTTTGGGGTTTCAAGTTAAAATGAAGCCTTTGGCAGCCTAGATCATGCGCAGCAATTTGGATTCGTCTACAAATTATTGCTGGAGGTTAACTCCTTTGGCCTAGTAAGAAAGAAACAAAATTTAGGGGCATGTCGCGATTTGGCGTCCTCATAAAGTCGAACGAGTCGATGTACGCAAGAGCTGCTGCGGACGACCGTCAATGACTAAAGAGTCCGAATCTCAAATTCCGCCAAGACTTTACATAGTAAGGTTATTTGACCTGCCAAACGCGAATATCACATTCATTTGTTGAATCAACGCCTTTTTCCTTGTTTAGGGTGAGATCCCGTATCGTCATCTACAGTAATCCTACAAAAAAGCCCTTATCACGCAATTTCACTATCGTTTTCGTGATCAGCATGTCGAATAACACCCCTACGCCAAGTTTCAGCCAAATCCGTCAACCTTTGAATTTTTCCCCTTCATACCGTGCACCTACCGTAACCTCACTGCGACGTCAGAATTTGGCACGACAGCAGCTGCACTTGTAGCTTACGTAATAGCCAAAGCAGTGGCAAAATTTGAGTGCGCCATGTTGAGTGAGAGAGAAGTTATGAGACCAGTTGCAAAACTTAGTTTCCAACCTAATACAATGTTTCTTACTCTCCAAATTTGCTTTCGATCTACCTTGTTGTGCTTCCTGCAGCACGGAAATTCAATCTTCCAAGAAACAAATCAGTGAAACCTGTTTGTTACCGATCTCATGTGCACTCAACAATAATGCCCACACGAAGCATTGATCTTCTATCTCAAATCACAAATAACGTAGCTCAGATTTTTTCAATAATTGAATTGCTTGCAAAATCCCGTCTTTTAAGCCTCGTCCATATTTTTATGGCAACACGAAATACGACATTCGGTCGTTTGAAGCACTGCTTCACGTTGATTAGTGCGGTAAAAAAATCGTCCAAGTTACTATAGTAAACAAAATCAACATCGATTGCGCATTGCTCTTAAATGCAGCAATGCAATTTGTGCTAAACGCAGCGAGCCCAGATTGAAAATTTGCGATTATGTCCCGAAAATATTTGGTTGACTAAAAAATGATTTCGTTTTCGCAGTCCTCCAGTAAACTTTTCTCTTTGCGTTTTATGCATGATTTTTTGCGAAGAAGCAGTTTGGAGCTTCTACTATCAGATGTCAACTCAAAATTTTTTACATTAGAGCTTTTACTATCACGTCTACTACTCAGAAGCTTCTATAATTAGTGAAGAACAGTACCAACATTGCTAATTTTTCAGGAGCTCCGTTTCATGATTTTCTGAACTTCAAAAAAAAACTATCTCGCTTTTTTGCGTCTTGCCTTGATTGGAGAGTAGATTACTAGTTGTTAGACACAGTTTATACACTAGTTCTTGGGATGCTTTTAGATACCAAACACTAGACAAAAATTTGTCTATTCATTTAGGAGACGCAGAAGTAACCCGAATCACTCAATAGCCAGAGCCTGTTTCGTATAGTATGCCTTTACTCAACGAATTGCAGCACTTCGGTTGTTATCAAAACTGGCCATGTTTGTTTTTCTTGAACAGAGATTTCAATTACAATTGTCGAGGACGGGAGTTGCACTCAACCGAGGATTAAGAATTGTTCTTTATTGGTTGTTCAGGAAATACTCGTGATCCCTCTCGCGTACTCTGCTTTGTCCAAGATGCGGCACTTGCTTTGAGACAGACTGCATAAAGAACCGAAGTGGCGACAATGATTGCACTTAGCCCGTAGAACAGCGCAGCCCACTGGAAGACAAAGATTCGAAAAAAAGCGATCGTAGAGGAGGTATAAACTCACTTGCTCTTTTGTGTTGTCTGGGACAAGAAGCTGTACTCCACCTGGTAAAAAGACTTGAACGAACCCGGCGATAAACATATTGAAGTTCATCGCAAAATGGGCATGTTGCGCTCCTCTCTAAAATGAAAAGTCAGTCAGCTGCAAGCGTGCTCAGTTCCACAGTGCGTGACTCACAATCTGTATGGTCCTGCTAACTATCACCGGAACAAAGAGATGTAGAGCAGCAAATAGCATATCGAAAAACAAAGCGATCCTTCTATCGTCTATCTGCAAAGCCAAAATTTGAATTTGTTTAGCAGGAGTTCACTAAGGGCCGCATGCACCAACCTCCCCGCGGGGATGTTAGTGCATGCGGCCCTAAGTCTTGCACAGGGGAAGTCAGCAGATTAAGGATACTTACGAAACCGGTAAGGAAGATTGATATTGCACTGAGTATCTCTAACGTCAGCAAAGGTGCCGCCAATCTCCACTTTGTGGTTAATCCAAGGCCATGATCTGAATTTTGAACGAAAATGTAACAGTGTAAATCACAGATCCTGCTTACCTATCATTTTTCCAACTCCGATTTTCAACGCAATGGCAAAAATCATGGGAATAGCCGAAAAATAGCCGGTCTGTCGAATGGTGTAGTTGAGTACCTTTGAAGATATAGGTAGTTAATAATAAAGGATTTCTTTTCTTCTTACTTGCTTGATGAAAATAGGGCTATATTGTTGATAGATTATCATTCCGGTATAGTAGCCTACGAATAATATGAGACTAGCCCATATGGTGAGGTCTGTCAGAACGCTCCTGTATGGAACAGGAGCTTTTTTACTAACAGGCGTCCGTCCTCCAAGTATGTGAGCAGCTTCGGATTTTGAAACATACCTAGAAATTTCGAGGGTTTCACGTTTAGGAACAGAAACTCATTACAACTGCTGCGCCCTAATAGAGAACAAAGCGAAATACAGTCTGCAACTTCGAATTCGTAGGTCACAAAGTTTAATTTGCACTCGTATATTGAGTCTCTTCGAGAGATTTTTCAATTTTTTCTTTGCATTATTATTTCGCTCGCGACAGATAAATTCAGAAGAACTTTTATGAATGAAGAGTCGTGCGCTTTACACATGCTTTCCAAACATCTTTTGAGTTACCGGATTCCTACAAAAAATCACTTAGATCTGATTAATTCAAAATAATGCTTCGAAGTCGTACTCGGTTACTGCAGCAATGAAGCTGCATAAATTTCCATTCCCGGAGGCCATGTCAATAAGATCCGCAAAAGAGTCAAAATTATCAAGTTGAAATGTTAATTGATTGAATTGACTTAGTTTCTATTCAACATAATCTAGGCTTTCGCAATCATTGTCAAGACATCGAAAAGAGTTTTACAATTTGCGTACAAACTTCTTGCATAAAGAGTAATTTTGCTCTATCTCATTGTGTTTTGCTGGTTTTGTAAAACTCGATATAAATGAAAACACTGGCTGACTGTGAACAAAACCAAATATAACACATCACAAATGCAACTACTTGGGAGTTGGTGAAAGACATTTTTGAATTTGATCACTAACTGGAGGGAGCAATCTGCATCGAATGCATCTTGAACTTTAGCTCATTTGCTTCTCTGTGAAATCTGGCACCCACCAGGGGCCGCATGCATTAACATGCTTGCCGGGGAGGGGATTGCAGCTTGAAAAAAGCTTCATATCCCAAGCTCCAGATATCTTAATTTAACGTTGTCTATCTATCAGTAAGTATTCCTACTGCCCTTCGTTATAAACATATTGAACAGAAGCGAAAAATTGTAAAAGCTGCATCCTAGCTTTTTGTATATTGCCGGTGACCCCGAAGGCCGATTGTTGTTTTTATAGTCAATTTTTTCTTCAAAGTTGATTGAAGAGTGCCAAAGTTTTACTGATTATCTAACCGGATAGTGCTAAGCATGTTGCTGATAAGAATCAATGACGTATTGACGTCATGCGAATGCGATGAACCACAATTTTAAAGTTGGGGTTCATCGAAAATTTCGATATTATAATGACTCAGTTGTTCTTATCAGCGGCACGCTTAGCACTGTTGGGATCAGATATTAGCGAATCATACAATAGGCTATAAGATGCGGCGCAAGCTTCTTGTTCTTGTGCAAATATGTTCATAGTGAAGGATACTAGGAAACACTTACGAATAGGTAGACAGGTGCACTTAAGGCCGCATGCACAATCTCCTCGCCGGAGGGTAAATCGCACCTTAAAAAGAACCTTCATATTCTGAAGCTGCGAATACCTGAATTTACGCTGTCTAGCTGTCCGTAAGTATCCCTACCTACCATCCTTCATTATGAATACATTGAGCAGAAGCGAGAACCTGTGTAAGCAGCATTTTCCAGCATTTGTATGATCCTCTGATGATTCCCGGCGGCCGACCGTCTTTTCCTCAAAGTCATTTCTCTTTCTTTGAAGTTGACAAAAACTCTCCAAAGTGTACTGGCTATCTAACTCAAAAGTGCTAAGCTGATAAGAACAACTGAGTTTTTGAAAAATCGAGTTTTTCGATGAACCCCAACTTTCGACTTGTGGTTGATCGCAAATTTCATGACTCCAATACATCATTTGTTCTTATCAGAAACGTGCTGAGGCTCTTCGGTTAGATAACCCGTGAAACTTTGGCATGTTATTATTAACTTCCGAAAAGAAAAAAAAAATGACTTTGAGAAAATGAAGACCGGCCACCAAGAATCATCAGGGTATCATACAAAAGCTGGAAATTGCGGCTTGTACACCTTCTCGCTCCTGTTCAATATGTTCATAGTGAAGGATGGCAGGAATACCTACGGATAGGTAGACAGCGTAAAATCAAAAGTTTAGGCTTCGGGATAACAACTTTCTGTTAAGCTGCGATCCCCTCTCCGGAGTTGATGTTAGTGCCTGCGGCCCTTAGAATACAAGGTTTTTTTCTTCAACTGCGATCCTCACTCCCGTGGGGATGCCAATGCATGCAGCCGTCAGAGTTGAAAGTGTTGTCCCCATTTTGATGTTATGAAAAGGCCGATTTCTTACCATTTTAGCGATATGATCCATAATGTAGGGATCCTATGCTAGGAAACTCTATTTATTTTCCGAATTCCCGGTACTCATCACCTCTTTGGGAACTAGCATCTGAGAGGTTTCTCGTTTGCGACGTTCCAGGTTTTTTGAAAGCAATAGGAAGATCTCTTGCCTGTTACTTTCTACATCCTGCGTGTAAAGAAATATGAAAGCTGCCGTTGATGCAAGCGTTAGAGCTCCGAGTACGTAATACGTTGCCTGAAAGAACAAGCTGGAGTACAGCTAGTACAGGGTTGGCCATAATTATAGCGACAAGATTTACTGCAATTAGCGTACTATTCTATCGCGCACATAGCGCGCCAGTTTTATCGATTTTTCAATCTCATCATTTTTTCTAACTCCTGTTAAAATTTGGTTAAATTTGGTCCATTTATAGTGAAATGGTGAAGCCTTCTCCTAATCGTTCCGCTATCCTTCGTCTGCACGAAGCCGGCCGCCCACCCGCCACGATCGCTATGTAAGCACCTCGGCATCCACCGCAGCGTCGTGTATCGCACACTCCAACGTTATCGAGACCTTGGTGGACTCCAAGACCACCGAAGAAGTGGAAGACCTCGTACTGCTCGCACGCCGAAGGTCGTCGAGGGGCCGTTCGAAGGTCGTCCCTGCCGTCATTCGTCGACCCCGGCGTCAAAATCGACAAAGATTACTACCTGAAGACGATTTTGGAAGATGCTCTACTCCCGTGGGCGAATTCCCACTTCACACGCCGCCCGTGGACATTCCAGCAAAATTCGGCGCCCGCTCACAAGGCCAAGGTCATCCAAGCGTGGTGCAAGAGCGAACTCCCCGACTTCATCCCGGCACAAGAATGGCCGGCATCGTCACCGGATTTGAACCCACTGGACTACATCTTGTGGTCCTACCTTGGGAGCAAGGCCTGCGCCACTCCCCACCCCAATTTGGATTCTCTGAGGGCAGCGCTCATCCGAGAATGGGACGAAATCGACGAGGCACTCCTGCGTCCGGTCATCGACGCCTTTCCCAGGCGACTTTGCCCTGTCGTCCGTGCCAAAGGTGCCCGAATCGAGAAGTAACTTATGATTGTTAATTGTACCAGTTGTTACTTAATAAATGTTATGTTCATGACTCGTTTGCACTTTTCCTTTCTGAGATACAAGGTGAAAACCTTGTCGCTATATTTATGGCCAACCCTGTATTTGATTGACACACAGTTAGAAAAACTTTTCTCAACCGACTTCCCAGCCAAGAGATGAAGTGCACATTTCGCCACCGAGTATCATTGTGAAAAGCGGTCCAAACTGAAATGAAGCGATGAGTTAGCAGGTTTCGTAGTAGTTGCAAGTAATGACACTACTTGTTCAGCACTTAATTTGATCACTCCAATCCAATAGTTGTGCATTCAAAGAAGAGTTACCTGTGAAGCAGCGAGAAGTATCGAAAAAAACAATGATTTTTCCGATTGCGGAGCCCAAGTCAATACTACCTCATTGCTAAAATGCAGTTGACTAGCCTGAGCGAAACCCTAAAATTAAGCTCGAATATTAATTTTTGAGGAGGAAATACTCACAAACCGTAAAGAATCGAGAAGCCATTGAGGGCCACAAACCCAAAGAATCGGCCAGTGGATATAAAAGAGTGGCCAATGTCGAAATAAGACCGTACGCAAATATTGCTACTCTGTAAGAGAACGACATTGCTGCCGGTGCTTTGAATTATTACTCGCAAGTATGATTTTGCAATTTTTAGTTATTTATTTGATTGTCGTATTTATTTTCAAAAGCAATGAATTTCTGGTATGCGCACACTTTCACAAACTGACGATAGTTTGTCATAAATTGTCCAACAATTAGACTGAACTGATTAGAAAGCAAGCATAAGTCATCGTCGTTTATTTATGTACTCCTTGAAGGACAATGTAGGTCATATGCAGTGTTCTGTGCAACTTTCTAAAGAGACTACGTCAGTACTTTACGATTTACTGCTGGTTATGCTAATTCTAAAAGTACCCTAATTTCACGCGTATAAGGCGCACTTTTTCGAATTTTCAAACAGCAGCTCAGCCGCTTCACTTTATTCCGGAAAGAAATCCTTACATCGCACGATTCTCGCAAGCAATATACAGCACGTTATAGGGTCCTTTGGTTGTAAAACCCTTTGGCTGTCTGGGCTGGTCGATTTTGGAAAAAAATCCCCCGCGCCTTATACGCGTGAAATTAGGGTAATTGCGCTTTGAAGCCGGTCGGTCTGTAGTTCACTACACCCTCGTCGAGCGTAAAAATTATTTCAAAAGCTCATAATTCTAACCATCTTTTTGAGACGGAAGCACAAAGATTGTTGGAGTTAAGCACCAGATACTCATAGAAGAAATACTTGCAAGTTTTCTTCCCATAAAATTTGGATTTTGCCAATCGCATGTCACTACTGAGAAAAGAAAGTGCGAATAAATAAAAGGTTACGAAAAGATGCTGCTTCTGGCTTACGTAAGTTCTCCGGAAATTGCTTAAAATATGGTTTCAAATGTGGAAATGCTATATACGGGATACTCTGATATTTTATAAAGATGTAAAACGCTCCTTATGAAAAAAATGTTGAAAAGTTGAAAAGTTGTATGAAAAGTTTCTAGATCTACTCAATGCTGTTGAATTAGCAATGCCGTTCTAGAGTTGGTTTTGTGCAGTGAAATCCAGATGTAATCGTGTCTTCAGTTTACAAGAAAGAGGCTACAAATTATGCATGTGCATGACCCAGCAGTATCCTTCCCTAAAAACATTATTGATAATTGTCTTTGTTCGGCGCGAATGTCGCAAAAAAATCTGATTTCCTATCTTCATACTTGTACGAAAACAATATTTCAAGTGCGAAATTACTGATAATTTAACCAAAATTACGCAATTGGCAATGCAATATTTGCTTTGTTCAAAGTAGAAGCAGTAATAATATCCTTCTTCACATTTTGGTCATTTCTTGAATATGATTTTTTCAACCTTCCACCTTGTATCAAGTTTGTAAGCCCAATACAAAGGTAATGGTCCCAAGCACATGCCAACAGCCATTGCCGTGAACATCCATGCTTTTGCGACGGGATCAGCAAGGTAGTAGTCTGAAGAATCGTAATAATTTTTTTTGGTAAGCAAGACTCAATTGCGCTTATTTCACCTAGTTCCTCTTAAAACTTTTGAGGACTCGATTTTCGAGAAAAAAAAAGCAACACGATAATACTTATCGGTAGTTGCGTGGTTAAAGGATCTCTTACCAGTTACGGTTCTATTTTCAGGTTCCTGACAAATCACTGTAAATCCAAACACAATTCGATTGCTGTAAATGAACGTGGTCCATAGTGTAGAAAGAAGAAGTATGATATACCGGATGATGCCCATGTTGGACAGCAGATCTGCAGATTTCTTGAGCATGAACAGTAGTTTTTATCAGAAGCTCCTTTTTGGAGTTGAGAAAATGAGGTAAACAGAATAGAATCAAAACAGCTTTACTCAGAAAGAATTTGCAGAAAACTACGTTTAGTGGTGGTGGGATTTCTCGCTCCGTGGACTAGCTCAGGGCGGAAGATTTGGAATATCTGTTACTTATCAATACTTATGTGAACTTCCCGCGACTCAAAGTTTGCTACTTGCATTCATCTACTTTCGTTTTCTTCAATTTAGTTTGAGATAACCTTGCGTCAACTTTGTATGCCCAGTAAAGAGGTATCGGCCCAAGACACATGCCGATCGCTGTAGAACTGAACATCCATGCTTTCGCTCCCGCTTTCGAGAGAAAATAGTCTAAATCAGTCGAGGTTTTTTGAAGAACGATTAAGATGGCAAAGTTGGTCAATATTTCACTCTAATTCTCACCATTCCTTGTGTTGTTTCCATCGTCTTGGCAAATGACAGTAAAGCTGAATACTATACGATTGCTGTAGACAAATGTACAAGCTAGAGTGGCTACCAAAAGTATCACATACCGAAACATGCCCATTTTCTGAACCAGACAAAAAGGCAGGTAATGTGTACGTACCATTAGTTCGATGATTCACATAGACAGACAGAAGGCACGTTATGTTGCATACACAAGAGAATGCGAAGCGGTCATGCTCACAGTATCACAAATGTAGCTGATGTTACATATGGAGCCCTATCCATCTGTTTGTGGGTGTATGTCTGTCCTCTGTCGTCTGTCTTTCTTTCCAAAGTTCTTTCATTCAACGCCTTATTATTATCACTTATTTTTAGCTAAGACAATCTTAAAACACACGTCAAATAACTATGGTCTATTTAAGGCCCGTATGCACGTACATCCCCGCTGGGAAGGGGAGGGTATCTGAGAGGGGATGCGTCATATCTCGCTACTCTACGTATCTTTCTTCTTCTTTCTCTTTTTTGCTTATAAACTTCTCATACCCTTATATCTGTACATAATCGATGTCAGATCACTCAGGTTACTGCCATACAAGATTCGTTTTTTGCCAGTTTGTGTGATCCCCTAGGGCTCCCCAGGAGATCACCATCTCTCATTTTTACAGTCATTTATCTTCCTGTAAATTCAATGAAAATGCTGCAAGATTGTACTGAGGATATACTACGGCAAACATGTTTCGACAGCAGTTAAGTTAATTTTACAAAAATTTTGTTAAATTAACTCAAGTCAAAATCGAGTCAAGTTGATTTACTCGTTTTGAAAAATTTAATAAACTCAGAGAAGTAAATTTTAGTCAGAGAAAAATCCTCTTTATTCTCCAGTCGGTCAAAATATGTGTACCGAGATTAAGCAGTTTTAACAATTACCGCGATGCGCACGATGGGCATTCTTACTGTTCAAAAAAGATGAGAAGCACAACCGCAACTTTCTCAGAAATCTCATGTATTTTCGAATCCCGCTATAGCGTTACCACTATCCCTTCTCCAGCCGACTCCTCCCTATTGATGAGCCTCGAGAGTGGTCTTATACAGTTCTCTGTCTAGGGGTAGAGGCGAAACAGGATTATTGGATAGAACTCTTATTTTTTCGGATAATGTGATCGCCGTCTTAAGATTGCAATGGACAAGTGCTTTAAAATGCACTTCTGTCGCAAACCTCGTATATTACCGTCATGCAAAAATGTGGCACGAACCATAAGCAACACGCATTCCTTATTTATTGAGAAATATCATGGCAGCATTCATTTGAATTGCTTTCCTTGAGTTAACCATGCTCTATAATCTATAATAGAAGGTCGCAGGAGAAAATAATCGGCAATT